TTGGTGGGAATGCAAACTTGTGCAGCCACTGTGGAAATCAGTGTGGCGGTTTCTCAGGAAACTGGGAGTCAACCTCCCTCAGGACCCAGCAATTCCACTCTTGGGAATATACCCAAGAGATGCCCTAACATACTACAAAAGCATTTGTTCAACTATATTCATAGCAGCACTATTTGTAATAGCCAGAACCTGGAAACAACCTAGGTGCCCCTCAATAGAAGAAAGGTTAAAGAAGGTGTGGAACATATACACATTAGAGTTCTACTCAGCAGTAAAAAACAATGACATCTTGAATTTTGCATGCGAATGGATGGAAATAGAAAACCCTTTACTGAGTGAGGTAAGCCAGACCCAAAAAGAGGAATATGGTATGTATTCACTCATATGTGGATTCTAACCATAATTAAAGGTCTTTGAGCCTATTATTCATGATCCTAGAGAAGCTAAATAAGAAGGTGAACCTGTTGAAAATCGTGTAGCTATCTGCCTGGAGATTGGAAATAGACAAGAGTCCCAGGTAACCTCGGGTGCATGGGGGGGGTGGGAGGGTTGTTGGAAGGGGAGAGGGTTAGAGAGAAGGGAGTAGGGGAGGAATGGGGAAAGCTCGGTGGACTGGGATGGGGGGAGGGAGGAAGGATGGATATGAGATCAGGGAAGACTATATTTCAACTAAGGGAGTCATTTTAGGGTTTACAGGAGACTTGATTATAAATGGGATCCCAGGTTCAAGGAGAGATCCCCAGACTGTTCTCTAGACAGAGGAGAGGGTGCCTGAACCGGCCTTGGCCTATAACCATACTGATGAAGATTTTGCTTATCACCATAGATCCTTCATCTGACGATGGATGACGATACAGACAGAGACCCACATTGGAGCACCGGACTGAGCCCCCCATGGTCCAAATGAGGGGCAGAAGGAGGAAGAACATGAAAAAAACTCAGGACCGCGAGGGGTGCGATCACCCACTGATACAAGGGGACTGATCTAATGAGAGTTCACCAAGGCCAGTTGGACTGGGACGGAACGAGCATGTGATCCAACCAGATTTTCTGAATGTGGCCGGATTCTCTGAATGTGGCTGGCCCGGAGCCTTTCTGAAAAGCCACTGACAGTGACACTGGGACTTGTTTCCTCTGCATATACTGGATTTTTGGGATCCAGTCTGTTCGGATACTCACCTTCCGGGACCTGGAAGGAGGGGGGAGGAACTTGAACTTCCCACAGGGCTGGAATCCCTGACTGCTCTTAGGGATGGAGAGGGAGGAGGACGGGTGGGGGGGAGTGGGAGGGTGTTGGGAGGAGGGGCGGAAATGGAAACTTTCATAATTTAATAAACTTTGAAAAAAAAAAGATCTTAGTCTAGGAAATTAACTGTTTGTGTCTTTACTCCTAAAGATACAGGGAAAAGCTATGGATCAATTACCAGCCCCAGAGAAAATAATCCCTTCTCACTCCAGCATCTGTTGGAACAAGCATCTGTGCCACTTAGCCAAAGGCTGGAAGCATCGGCCTCTGGATTTTACATGACATAACCATAAATTTTTTCCTTTTATTTAGCCACTGTAGATGTAATCTCTAGGACTGAGAGGCCCTCTTTAATCAGCCATCATGTGATGAAAATACTAATGTGAACCAAAGGCCACCCTCCTTCCTCCCACAGTCTACACCTGGTTACCATGGTTATCACCTGTTGTGCTCCCACCCACCTTGGAAATGAAAGTGCCAAGAAAGTGCACAGCACTGCCACATTTTCTTCCCTTTCTCTAAATTTATTGAAGCATAAACTTCTAGCTTAACTAGCCACACAAATGTAATTACACATAAATATTCCTTCTTCCCTCTTCATATTCATAACACCAGCTGGGTAATAGTGGCACATGCCTTTAATTACAGCACTCTGGGAAGCAGAGGCAGGAGGATCTCTGTGAATTTGAGGCTAACCTGATATACAGAGTGAGTTCCAAGACTGCCAGAGATACACAGAGAAACCTTGGCTTGGGAAAAAAATGAAATCATAAGCGCTTCCTTCATTGACCTTTCTCAGATATGCCCAGCATTTTATCAGTCATGCACCCCTGAGTCATTAAGTAAGATACAGGTACCACATTGCTAGCCCTTATCTGTTTTCATGGCCTCAAGAAATGCAAGCCTGGCATCCTTGCTATTGCCAGAGAATTGCTGATTGTGTCTATATATGTATATAAACTGGAAACTTTGGAGGAGGGCAGAAGAATAAAGAAACTGATGCAGAGAAAATATAGAGTAGAGAATTCTTTCCCTTCACTTATTGTACAGTCTCTTTTGTACCCTGAGGGGCTTGTTTAATTCTGCCCAAGGAATGTGTGTCTCAAGTCAGTTACTGATACTATCAGTTCTAGTCCCAGTGAAACTTTATTACATTTAAAGTCTCTGATACTATACATATGCAATCTCCACTACTATTTTTAACCAATTCAGTGCTTACACCTACCATCATAATTCAAATCAGTGTCATATTCTCAAAGATATTTAGCTGAAGACTACAGTTACTCTCCTCTAGCCTATCCTCCTAGCACTCTAACCTGGAGCTTCCTCAAAGCCGAGCTCCACTGCAAAGGTTTTCTAGAGTCTCTCTAAAGAAAAGTCCTGTGTTCCCTAAGTCTTCACACCTGCTGCTCATGAAGGTTTGTTTACATATAATGGCATGTTCTCATCACTCTTGAATGGGTGTGTATGTGTTTTCATTTGCCTCAGAGTAAGGAACAAACCTAGAACATGTCAAAGGTAGACTTCCTAATTCTAAATAACTGAGAATCTTAATGATCCCAATATATTCTAAATGAGTTACCTTAAGAAATTGATTCAACAAGCAATGAATATATCACTGGAAGAAAAATTGGTTTGAACATCCCGCTTTTACCAAGAAAAAGAAAACTGAGTCAGAATTTCCACAAATATGATGTAGCAAGTCAGGATCCCTTGTACCTTTTCCATTCTAATCAGAAAATGGTCAATAAAGTCTTGAGGGCTACTGAAGTTCAAAGACTCTTGATGCCTTTTTATTTCCTTCAAAATAAACTCTTTCTGTTCAGTCAAATGTTTAAGGAATTTTTTATGGCTTCCTGGGAGACAGTATAAAACAGGGTAGGCACTGCACAGCTGGAAGAGAAACAAACTTACATTAGTGTAAACAACACACCTTCCACGTCACAGTTATATTTCCAACTCTTTATAAAGGTGGCATCCACTGCCTCCTGTGTTCCGATATGCCTGGCATTTGGAGGAGCAGGTAGAGCATGGATCAAATGGTCACAGTGGTCATGTGCATTACTTATGCAGCAACGTCGGATTACATTCACTTCCCAACAGCAAATGTAGCATGAGTAGCAAAATCACAGAGACAGATATAGGGGTTCAAGATGAAGATCAGGAAAGCAAAGCAGTCAACCACTAGAGAGGCATTTTTAACCCTATTAAATCTTCAGATTTTAACCTATTAAATCTTCAGGCTGAGATAATATCTCCATGAATCCTAATACTCCACTCTCCAGTGAGTTCCTGTCTCTTCCCCTTTATATTCTTCTGTCCTCCCACCTCCCTAGTACTGGGATTAAAAGTGTGTGATTCCCATACACTGGTATTAATAGTGTGACCACCTATATCAGTTTCTGGATTGATCTTGTGCAGCCCGGGGTGGTCTTAAACTCACAGAGATCTGTCTGTCTCTGTCTACTGAGACATGGGATTAAGGATGTGTGCCACCACTGCCTGGCCTTTAGTGGCTTAGCTTTGCTCTCTGATCTTCAGGCAAGCTTAATTTATTGAAACACAAATAAAATGTCACTATAGCAGATCACCAATGGGATTTGTAAGCTAATCCCAACATCCCCTCTGTTCTACTGAGAACACTGAGATGCAAAACGACTCGTAAAATTATGAGACCACATATCCGTGATAGCTGAATATAAGCAGTCTTTTCACAGTTTATCCTTCACATGTTTCTCAAGTCACCTGAAAACTGCAACTCCAATAGACATGAGAAAGTGGAAGGGGGAAATCTCGTGAGGTTCCACTCAGGGATGAGTCAGGACTGCTGGGAAAGGGAGAATACGTTGTCTCTGGGAATGTCTCCTAACACCAAGTGGTTAGTCTGAAATCATATCTATACAAGCAACACTAAATAAATCAGAGGTCTATAATTACATACTGGTGTGGGGGGGTGCATGTTCCTAAAGAAAAAGACACATTGAATTTGAATGAGAGCAAGAGAGAACAGGTACATGGGAGGAGCTGGAGAGGACAAAGGGAAAGGAAAAATGATATGATTATAATCTCAGATTAGTTATTAACTGAATGGAGGAGGTTTTCTTCTCTTGATCACCTAATTAATGCTAAAATGAATGTCTAATTTTCAAATTATGTGAATATGTATATTATATATAAATATTTATATATTTATGCAAAAAATATAAAGTATAACTGGTGGTTAGTTGTTTAAAATCTGTTACATCTTTATTTTTTATTTGGGGGGAAGAGTATGACATAGGGACATTCTATATTCAACTACTATCTTATTATAAATGAGAGTTATAGTGATCCTTTGTATCTCGCATAAATTCCAGAGTGATGGAACCTAGGCTTTGAAATAACATTTTTTAAATAGTCAGTGGTTATCTGAGTTTCTCTTCCTGAAGGAATTTCAGAGCCTTAGCATAGCTTAGTCTCCAGACATACCTGGAAAACCAGGAAGTCTTGTACGACTGGTAATTTCTTAGGCAATGGTTCATTCAGACAACTCCTAGACCAGATAAGCAATTTTAGAGTGGGGAAATTGGCGCGCTAAAAGTGCCTTTATGTAATAATAAAGAGGCTACGTGAAGTTGCTAGGCCTTCAGTTCATGAGAAGCTAATTCCCCTGCTGCTAGCAAAGCTGAATTACAATTTGGAGTAAGTCTCTTTCTTTGACCTACACAAGTCATACAGAACACATACATATGGCACCCAACCTTGTGTGACAGGGAGCAAAGAGCCATCTGAACACTCAGGACTGGAGGTACCCTATGCTCAGATAAGTGGGACTCCAGGATTTGGCAGGGATATAGGTAATTCCCCCATCTCAAGTGTGGCAATATGTACAGTTATTAAAAGGAGAACCATTTACTACACATTTGCAAATATTACAGATACAAATAGAATGGCTCTTGAGACAAAGAATAAATTGAGGAATAGACTCTTCTTGGGGGAAAAGGAGGAAGTGTTTAATCAAGAAAGATGATTTTCCCATTAGAAGAAGGGGAAATGTTTATTCAAGGTATGCAAATACAAAGGCCCAAGAGACGAAAATTTGAGGAAGAAAAAAGGCTCTTCCCGAAAAAAAAAAAATAAAGTAGTTATTAGTTGGAATCCTACAGAGATGACAGATCTAAACCAGTTTAAAAAACTATTGGTAGCACATGAAATTCATTCACCCTGTGTGAGACAGATTTTAAATAACTGGGCTACTGAGAACAGAATTATTCTAAAAGATTGGAAGTAATTAACACCAACTGGAACTCAGAGCTCCCTGACTGAACTCTGTCTATCAGCTCTACCAGGCAAGGGCCCACCAGTGCAGATCAGCAACACCTGAATTCCAAAGAATGGCAGGAGAGGCTCTACTGCTGCAGTTTGAGTCAACACAGCCAGCCCAGAGCTTAGAATTTTTTTTGCTTGCTTGATTATTGTTTATTATATTTTTAATATTTTTCCTTCTAGGGGAATAACTCAATATTAAAGATCCCTTCATGGGAAGTATTTTTTAATGTTTTTCCCTAATAGGATAACTCAATATCTATGGTCCCTTCATGGGAGCAAAATGTAAGACAAGCTCAACTTCTAGTATAAAAACAACTGGAATTAGGGCATAAAGTTCTAAGCCAATGCTGTTTAAATTTTCAGCAGTATTAGTCATTTGTTATATGGAGACTCATTTCTCTGGATCATCTAATTAATGCCTAAATGAATGCCTAATTACCATAGTAGATAAAATAAAAGAGAAAAATTCATAATTTTGGTCTATATCATTAGGTATGGTCTATCTGTTCATCATTACTGATGATCTGACTCTGCTCTTTAAGTTACTTTCTGGAAACTCTCAGTTAAATTATTAAATATTCTAAGGTGAGAGCTCATAAAAATGATCTCTTACTGATAAAGAGCCTCCAAAAAAATGTTTTCCCATGAAATAAAATTCAGGATAAATTGTTTGCTCCACACTCTTAGTAATTGTCAGGATGCATTAACATGTTACTTGGGATCTATAATGTTAGCCTGAGTTATATAATGGAAAGGAAGGAAGGAAGGAAGGAAGGAAGGAAGGAAGGAAGGAAGGAAG